AAGGGGGAAGGGGGGAAGGGGGGAAGGGAGGAAGGGAGGAAGGGAGGAAGGGAGGAAGGGAGGAAGGGAGGAAGGAAGGGAGATGTACCAAGAGATGTGGGAGTAGGTCTGGAATTAATTCTGGCATGTTTACTGTCCAGATGGGAAAACAGAGGTCCAAGAGGGGGGACTTCCCGAAAGTCACCCAGCAGGGGTGGCAAGCGGGCCAGGGCAGTTCTCACCCCACACCTGCCTTCTGAGGAGGCCGACTGCACTGAGACCCCCTTACTTCAGAGGGTGGAGGCCATGCTGCGTGTGGAAGATGCTTGGCTGTCCCACCCAAATCTCTGTGGGGAGGGCCCTTTGTAATTCTTTCCCTGTGTAATGGGGCACTTTGATATCGCAGGAAGACATTAACCATCTGCAGTGTCTGAAGAGAAACAAGCCCATGATGAAGTTACAAAATCATCAGCAGAAGCCTGGAGCAGATGGGCTGTGAGACAGTGTCGGAGGGGGCGTCCAACAGACGGGGGGTGGGGGAGGGCTCCAAGGAAGCGGGGGGTGGCTGTGCTGAGACCTGCAGCTGAGGTGGATGCTTGGCCTGGGTCCTGAGTCTGGTCAATTCTCTCTCCAGGGGGGTCCAGGCAGCAGCCGGACCTAGCTTCCAGTCTCTTTTCCTGTTTGATTTAAGGCCCAGGCTCTGTGAAGTGGCTCAGCTCCATGGAAAGAGCAGGCTTAGGCGACAGAGAGGCTGGGCTGTCTTTCCTGACAGTTCTATGGGCTGCAGACCCCGTATCTCCTAAGCACATTAGTTCTGAAGGGCTCAAAGCACAGGGGTAGGGAAGACAATGAGGAGCCACAGGGCATACCTGGGGGCCCTTGGACGGGCACCCAAACTCCTATTTTCGTGCTTGCAAAAGCAGCAGAGCACCTGGCTTCCTGCCCCTGAGCCCTGCAGTGAGGCTCCCGATCATTTGTCCAGGGCAGCACCAGGAGCTGCTGTCAGTCAGGGCGGAGGCTGGTTAGAAGGCAGGTCTCCTGACCCCAGACGAGGGTGCTCCCTGTGGTATTCTCCCCAGACCCAGGAGTCAGAGAACTCAGCCCTTCAAGCCCCTATTTCCTAGTCACAGTGCCACGGTGTCCACCATGGCAAATCCACAGGCTCTGTTTGAGAGCCACAGTGACACAGAGGGGCAGGAACTGGCACCTCGCGGGGCTGAGAAGCTTCATGAATGTGGCAGGTGGGTTTGGCCACGGAGCTCCAGCCCCACTGTGTACCCAGCTGCCTCTTGGACACCTCCACCTGAATTTTCTATGGGTAGCAGAAGCCTCGCACAGAACTCCTCTTCCCCAGAACCTGCTGTAGATTCTTCTTAGCCGCCCGTCTGCCTGAGCCTGGGAGGCAGCCCTGACTCCGTATCCTGACATTTTTCCCAACTGTCCCCTTGTACCTGTCCCTATGGCAACTCCTGGAGCTCAGGCCTCATCCCCGCTCGCCCAACATCCTCACTTGGCTCCCTTCCGCCTTGCTGTCCACCTTCCATTTTAGTTTGCAGGCCGATCTTCCTGACTTAGTACTGCCTGCCCTAAGCACCCTGCTCGTCCAATCTTACCTCTAATCCTGCCTCTCCCCACACTCTGTGCTCCAGGACTCCTGACACCTCCGCATCCGCCCTCACCTGCCCTGCCTTTGCTCTCCTCGTACCACCCTTCTTCACTTTCTCCACCATCTCCGCAGTCAACCTGTAAGACCCAGCCCAGTCACTGCCTCGATAAGGCAGTCCCCAGATCTCCACCTTCCCAGCTCTCCTCTTGGGGTTTCTGGTCCCTTGCACAGCCCACCATTCCATCATGTAATGATCTGCTTTGCATATGGCCCTCCTCCCTGGCTTTCTCAAGATGAAGATCACTGGATATCCGTATGCAAAAAAAGAACCTCAACTCATATCTTGTAACATATATGAAAATTAACTCAAAATGGATCACAGACCTAAATGTAAAATCTTTTTAAAACTATAAGACTTCTAGGAGAAAATCTGTGACTTTCTGTTAGGCAAAGATTTCTTGGATAGGACCTAAGAGGCACAAATCATAGAAAATTTAATAAACCAGACTTCATCCAAATGAAAAACTTCTCCTCTTCGAAAGACACTGTTAAAAAAAAAATGAAAATGAGGGCTTCCCTGGTGGCGCAGTGATTGAGAATCCGCCTGCCAATTCAGGGGACATGGGTTCAAGCCCTGGTCCGGGAAGATCCCACGTGCCGCGGAGCAACTAAGCCCACGCGCCACAGCTACTGAGCCTGCGCTCTAGAGCCCATGAGCCACAACTACTGAAGCTCCCGTGCCACAACTACTGAGCCTGTGCTCTAGAGCCCGTGCTCCGCAACAAGAGAAGCCACCGCAATGAGATGCCCATGCACCACAATGAAGAGTAGCCCCCACTCGCTGCGCGCAGCAACGAAGACCCAACGCAGCCAAAAATAAATTTTAAAAAATTATTTAAAAAAAAAATGAAAATGAGACACAAACTGCAAGAAAATATTTGCAAAACTCCTATCTGATACATGATTGTTAACCAGAATATA